AGGCCGTGGGAGGGCTGGCTCAGCGCACACACTGTCTCCTCACCGTCTAGGGCTTATTCTGCAACACTGGCTGGGAGCACCAGATGCGCGCTAGAGCACAGGACATCTTATGAACGCTAAACACCATTTTTCCTGGAGTTTAGGTGATCTTATTTTAATTGAAAGTAGATTTTTAACGGTTTTCTTCCATGCCTAGTCAAAAGGGCTCGTGTTGCCAGCACCAAAGGAGAGGGACAGTGTCTTTTGTTTCCATTTTGATTTCACTGCATTGCTTTTTGTTAAACAAACACAGAAATAAAATAGACTAACAGCCTGCCAGGCATGGGAAGGAGGTGAAACAGCGCCTGTGGACTCCTGAGGATTTGAAATGTATCCCTTTGCCAATCTAAAGCAGCTGGCATGGTGAGGGTGATGGCGAAGGTTAGTCATTCCCGTGCCCAGTATTCCTGGTGGGACAGCAGCTCTTGTGACTCCCGGGACGTGTCTGCACTCAAGGCTGTGGCCAAGCCTTTATGATGAACTCTGGACCTGACATGTGAATAATACCCAGATATCAGTGCCTTCTGTGTGGCCACGTCCACCTCTGAGTGTTATTATTCCTAATTTTACTTTAGGGGACATTGGGACTCAGGATCACAAATAAAACCCATTGCTACAGTCGGGACCAGATTCTCCCTCAGCACCAATAAAGTTGGTGTGATCGTTTTGGTGGTTTTAATAAATTTCTCTCTCCCCTCCTGGACTGCAGGTACCAGGAGGGCAAGGGCTTCATCTGTTTCTGCGCTCCATCGTGTCCTCAGCACACAGAATACTGTGCAGCACAGAGAGGTGCCTTATAAACACGTGTTCAGTAAATGTCTTTATCAAGCTCCACATGGAGTTGGAACTTGATTGGAGCAGAGAATCTGGGAAAGTCAAGCAGAGAAGGATTTCTCTCCCTCACAGCTACAGAGTGAAAATTCAGATTGACCGTAGGGTCACCACCTAAATAGTTGTAGTGATTTAGTTTTGAAAGCACATGGCTCAGGTCATAGGAAGTCTTGGGGGAGGCTTTAGTTTCCTTTCAGGAGAGCGCAGGTCTTCTAAAATCTCCACAGTTGCTGGATAGGCCATTGTTTTGCAGATATTTCATGACTTAATTCTTTGTCTAAGGGCAATTTGAGGGAAAAAAGATATATTTTTTAAATGAGCTTTTTTTCATCAGACATGAATCAGATACACCACTTCCTGAACAGAAACAGTGTTATCAAAACCTGATAGGCTATGTTTACAGAAATTATGATTTCTGACATCATGTACCTGTCTACCTAGGTTATTGTGAAGCCCCTCCAGGGTTAAACCTACAGGTGCAACGGCACTGCTTTTTATTGCTGGATGCGTCGGTGCATGAAATGCCAATCTTTGGGACAAGAGTTCCTTTTCATTTTGTCTTTTTCTTCATTTTCTGGTGAAAGTTCCCAACTTTCAGAAATGGCCAGATTGACAGGAAATCACATTTTAAAATATGTCAGGTTTGATTTCAATTAGTTGCTCCTGGCTGACTCAGTTGTTCAGGGCTAAGAAAGATCTGTGGTCATTATTTTAAACTTTGTTGATCAATGAAGTCTCCACTTCGCAGGAGAGGCTGGGTTTAGGACAAGCAGTAACAAGGCTCTGATGCTTTCATAGTCATCTTTATCCCCAGTGCATCAAAGAGGCCGGTAAAAATTAATGAGTTGATTTTGAAGAGTCTATTTCATTCATTAAAAAAAAAAAAAAAGAATGCTTTCAGCCCAGTGGGTACGGCTCAGTGGTTGAGTGTCAACCTATGAACCAAGAGGTCACTGGTTCAATTCCCTGTCAGGGCATATGCTTGGGTTTTGAGCTCGATCCCCAGTAGGGGGCGTGTAGGAGGCAGCAGATCAATGTTCCCCTCTTGCATCAATGTTTCTATCTCTCTATCCTTCTCCCTTCCCCTCTCTCTCTCAAAAATCAATTTAAAAAATATATTTTAAAAAATAAATAAGTGCATTCAAATAAAATTTGCTAAAAGATGTTTTATTATCTACAATTGTTTATTCATTACTACAAAACACAAGTGTAAGGAAGTTAGAAAAGTAGCATATATAAAATGCATTCATTGTAAAAGTGTTATGTATACCACAGGCACACCTAAATATGAATTTCACATGGATTCCTTATTAGTGTCTAATACATGTAAATATAATTAAATTATGTAATAATATTTAATAATTAAAATTAATAATACATTGATAACAACTAAATTAAATAAATCTGATTAATTAAGTTTAAATCTAATAAACTTTATTTTGATGAAGGTGATGAAAATGCTATCATTATCATTAACACATAATCTCATGGCACTAGATGTATAATGTGGGGAAAGTTGCTTTGAAAATTGTTTGGTGAATTCAAAAATTTGCAAGTGAAACCTGCCAAATATAGAAAAGTTAAAATTTTTCAAGTTAGTTTAAAAACAAACATTTTTTTCAAACAAATAGCAGTGAATTCACAAACAGAAATCTATGGCAGTAGCCACAGTAAGGAAAACAGAGTAGCCTTTTCAAGAATTATATTACTGCATATATTCTATTCTGAAAATAAAGCTTTTGTCTCTAACAGTAAACCCTGTTCATGTATTCAACATGTATTCATTGAGTGCTTAGTGTGCCAGGCACTATGCTAAGGACTGGGAATAGACCGGTGAGAAAGTACACAGCCTGGTGCTCAAAGAGATTGCAGTCTAGTTGAGGAACAGATATCTGTCAAACACATCAATGTAATTACAATTCTGACTAGTGTTTTGAAGAAGTGACATTTAAAATATCACCTGAAAGATGAGTGAGTGGTCCAGTGAAGGGGCGGGGAAGAAAACCACTCTTTATGAGTAAACAGAAAACAAAGCAAACAAATAACAGCAGCATTTACAAAGTTCCCTGAGGAAAATTAGGCTGCTCAAGATGAGCAAGACTGGGGTGTGACTAGAACTTGGTAATAGAGAGAGTGACTGGAGACAACACAAGAGAAGCCACTGGTAACCATTATTCAGAGCCCTATAGGTTAGTTAAAGCTTTTTGTTTTCATCCTAAAAGCACTGAGAGGTGATTGAAGCATTCTGGGTAGGAGATTGAATTAATCTCATGACCCTGACATGAATTAATCAGTCAAGGTCAGCACATTGAGGGCTACTGATCTCAGCACTTCCAACTCCTAAATCTTTTCAAAGCCAGTTCTCAAAGCCAGAACATTAGAAGATCTCTGGCTCCCACATCTCTCACCTCCTGTTGCTTTCTTGGAGGGAGATTTTCTGACTCCTGTAGACTTAGTTGTTTCTCTTCTAAGAGGCCTGGAATCTATTTGAAGATGCCTTTCCTCAGGTGAGTTCCAGAGGAGGGCTTTGAGGCTTTGTGTACCAAGTTTATTCCCCAGCCCCCTTTCTGACTTTGACTGGAATTGTGAAAACTGGATAGAAAAACATCACAACTAAGTATAATTTCAACTTGTCAGTTTGCTCTAAATCATGCATTCTCAATGTCACTGTTGCCCCCAACAGGGCAAAACTTGTGAGGGCAAACAAAAAATTTACACCCGGCCAGCGTGGCTCAATGGTTGAACATCAACCTATGAACCAGGGCACATGCCCAGGTTGTAGGCTCAAACCCCTGTGTGGGGCATGCAGGAGGCAGCTGGTCAATGATTCTCATCATCGATGTTTCTATCTCCCTCTCCCTCTCCCTACCTCTCTGAAATTAATAGCCATTATTCAGGGTCGTATAGGTTAATTACGGATTTTTATTTTCATCCTAAAAGCACTGAGAGGTGATTGAAGCATTCTGGGTAGGAGATTTTTTATTGTTGATATTACAGATGTCTCCGCCCCGCTTCTTTACCCTCCTCCAAAATAAGATCTGAAGCAGGGAGGCATGGAACAGACTGACATACCTTGATGTTGGGTTGAGGGAACGAGAAGAGATAAACCAAATAACTTATATGCATAGCCCATGGTCACGGGCAATAGGGTGGTAAAGAGAAATGGTATTTTAAGTGTAAAACTTGTATTTCATGTGAGGACTACAAGCTATTCAAAAAGGATGTTTCATCAATCCTCAAAGCAATCTATTTTATCTAGAAACACGGAAGAGCACTCTTGTGTTCTAATGTCTCTCCATGGGGATAACAATTAATTGTTTTCAATTCAGGCCCAGGAGCCCTAATCTTTGAGTAGCAGAGGGATCTGAGGACGTGTTTCTGTGATGATCATGGTTCTAAGGTGGGAGTTTGGTTGCTCAGGAACCTCCCCTGGCCTGGTACCCTAGCACCTAAGGAACTGATGAGCCAGACACTCAGTTAAGGTTAATACAGAATCAGCATTGGCCTCAGCATCACTTCTACCCACCCCTTCCTCTCACCTCTCAACCTGAGCATATCTGTTGAACAACCATTCTTTCCAAAGACTATCTGCCTTTCCTAAAACGCCAACGTCATGCTACATTTGCAACAGGAATATGTCATCTGCTCTAGCAAATCCAGAGAGAAAATAATGGACTTCAAACCCGAGTGGCTGCACACACATTGCCACAGCATCTGTCTTTCTAATGACTTGAATATGCTTGTGTCTCTGCTCTAAGGATTCAGATTTTTCATTTTAATAGAATTCTCTTCTGAAACTATTGCCATGAGGGACCAGATTTCTCCACCTGCCAGTCTATTTTCTGAAGGCATTGGGCACTTTAGATCCATTATATGCTCCTTTAGAAGGAGCTGGATCCTTCTCTATGCGTAAAACAGAAAAAATGTGTATGCTGAAAATATGGATCAGAATTTTTATGGTATTTTACTCATAAGATTAATGTAGTTCAAGGCCGTCGGCCCAGTTTTGCCTCAGTGGGTTGAGTTCATAGACTAGATATACTTCCTGAGACCCAGGGAAATACACATGTATTTCATTCCATGCTTTAACCTCAAGAACCCACAACTTCTCTTTTTCTTTCCTTTCTCAGGGCTCTTCCCGCCATGATGCAGTGGGTCAGCACGCAGAAACCAGGAGAGAGCGGCATCAATATTGTCACTGCCGATTTTGTAGAACTTGGTGATTTCATCAGCACTGTCATAAAGCTCAACTATGTCTTTGATGAAGGAGAAGCCAACACTTGATAGTACCATTTTGAGCATTCATGAATAAGATAGAGAAGACTCATTGTATTAGGCATATTATCTAGAAACACTCTGATCTTCCTATTCCACTGAGTCTCTGAGGGAATTTGGGCTGGCAGTGGGTGGGAAAAGGGGAAATCCATTTCTTGAGTGGTTATTGTCATAGTCTGCATTAGTATAAATATTTCATTTCCCATTTGATGAGAAAAATCTACTTCTAGTGTTAGAGATTTAAAAAAAGACCAGTGACATTTGTTTTTCAGAATTAGTCTTTGTAATGTATAACTCACAAGTGTTGACTTGATTGTGTTTCTGATTTCAACCTAGATCTGCTATGCTCTGTATCTTCTAACTGAACCTTTTCACCCCACCCCCTTACTCACTCTTCTTAATCAGATGCTGTATGGGACTCAAAACAATTGACTGTCCCAACAGAATGTGTATTGCATTGTTGTAGTGAAATTTATTTGTTGTGTGGGACATGGTATAATATTCTGTTGTCATCTGCAATTGGGCAATCATTGCTAACTCTTTGTCATAGAAAATATGCATCAAAACAGTTTCCCTGCATCAGTAATATTGAAGGTCATAATCAGTGATTTTTTGTGTCATACAAAAATAATAGTGTTTCACTGTATTTCTATTTAAGGCAGCTATAAATATAGAGTAAATAATTCTTTGGAAGAACTACTTGTGCCAACTTTAAATGGGGGGACTGGGAAGAGATGGTTGCTAATTTAATTCAAGAATCCCCTAGTAACATTGCCCTACAAATGCCCAGTAAATGAAAAATTATGAATGAAGAGTGTGTTAAAATCAGAGAACTCTGCAAAGAACTCTTACAAAAGCTCTCCTGACAATTCTCTTGATTGAAAGGGGTTGGGGGTAGGGAGAGAAAAGGAAGAAGAAAGAAATGAAAGATTGTTCAAGCTTTCCTATCAAATTAGGATTTCTAAATATGTAATTCTAAATCCCAGATTTTGAGGACCATATTTCAAGAAGCTTTACTTGGAGGTTTTTTTAAAAATTAAAGTTGAAAAAGGAGGGAGGGTGGCAGAAGGACTCAAAGCAATGCTTTTGAAACTCTGTCCATGAAGTTTCAAGAATCCATGAACCATCTTTAGCAGATTCTCAAATATGTGTGACCTGAGCAAACTCTACTGAAAACTAACACAGACTCACCCCTCTGGGTTCCATCCTCCCCTAGGGTTGAGAATGAGACAGAGATAAAAGTTTCTGTGTCCAGCATTTGACAGTCCGTTTCTACAGAGAAGAAAAAAGATAATGCAACTATGAGTATTGCTTTCTCCTTGTTGTCTTTATGATATCTGAAAACGCTAAAATCGTCTTAAAAGAGCACAATAATCTTTATATGCCTCACAGGAATATAGTGAGGCATTTATAAAAATTTATAAAATTTGCTGAAATTCTTAGGATTATGAATTATTGTATCTAAATGTTTAGAAATAATCATGCATCAATCATTTCCTGGGAAAACACAGCCCACAGAAATAGAAGCGTTCTCTCAGCTTCTAATTAATCTAAATGTAAGGCATGTGGTTAAATCTCTGAGACCTAGGTAAGGGAGTTGATTCTAGGATTATGTATGTCCAGATTATAAATAATGAAGAGTTGTTTACATGGTTATAAATATTCATTATCAGAAAATAGTATTTATTAGCAATTGCAGGAAAGATAAATTGTTTGTACTGAAGAGAATGATTATGAAAAGTATGTAAGTAGATGTGATAGACCAAGTACCATGCAAATACACGCAGCAGATCTGATCTACATTCCACTTGTGTATGTTTTTCCCTACACAATATATCAATACACACCCACTCCTATGCAGAGAGATTAAAATACACACAAACACAGGCATGGACGGACACAATCAAATTCTTTTTTTCCAGTGAAAATATTGATAATATAAAATAATTTAATTGTAAGACTGTGAAACCCTTAACAATGTATAAAACAGAATGATAAGACCTTTGAAAGTAGAGTAGCTGATCATATTCAAATATTTTTGTAAAGATAATCCAGCTTGGGACTTAATTATTTGCAAATATAGTTTTCTTTCTGCTTTGCAGTTGTATTGTCTTCCTGTGACTTTCACCTGTTCCTTACGTGCAATTGAATATGAATCCTTTTTCAAGGACTATGGATTATTAAAATTTATGTCCTGTAAATTTGCTTTTGGGGCAAGTTTTCTCGCTGACTATTCATTGTTCATCCCTCAGGAAGATCTTTAGCCAAGCACACTTGAAATGACACAGGATTTAACTTATAAATATGACAGGAAACAGATCTTTCAACATATTCATGAAAATTAGTAAAATAGAGGTAATGATGTTGTATTTTCTTGAAGTTAGATGCTTTCCTATAAAGTTTGCTTAGAGTAAGCTTTGCTGTTTTTGTCATTTTGGTGCTGGAAAAAAAAAAAAACACCTGCTGAAGGATTAGACTAATTGTGCAATTTCTTAACTGGAGAAAGTTCTCTATTGCTACTAATGATATATTTGACAAAAGGTATCTTCAAGCCACTGTTACTGTTTCCACGTGGACACAATGCTATGTAGCAGGCACTGAGAGAAAAGGGACTTGCCTTAATTTCTAAAGGAGGGAGCAGATAGAAGTGAACTGTGGTCTTCCAACTGGGTAGAGAGTCCACTAGAAGGGATTTCTTTGAAAGTGGGGGGGGGGGGAGAGAAGGTGCCTTTGGCTGTCTTCCGTTTATTGGCCCTGCCCTGAGCACTTAGGGAGCATGCTGGGGAGGGGGGGAGAGGGCGGGGGGAGGGCTAGTGATATGCAATCAGAACTTACCCTCAGCCTGTGCTTCTTTGTCTTAGCTGGGCAGTGTCTTTCTAGATAAGCTACAAGTAAAGGGCTACAAAGAGGCCCCAAGATGGTAGGCGATACATCTTGGTGTACTTTGTGTTCTGCTTGTTTCTTAAGACTTTATGTCACAAATTCTGCAAGGCAAAAAATACAGAAACAAAATGCAACTTCCATCTAATCTACAGCAGGAAGTCAAAGGAGTGGGTGGGATGGATGAGGGAACTTATGCAAAGAGAGTCATTTTTGGTTTGCTCTCCTGTCTGTAATTTTGAAGGACCAAAATGGGATGCTCCTGCCATTATCATTTATGTCTCCCTTATTACTACACAATCATGTGAATGCAGAGAATGAGGAGGCATTGTTTCAAGGCCTTAGGATATTCTGTATGATGACCTCAATGTTCACTTTCAGCCATATTGGGAAAAGTCACTTTCATGAAGTGCCACCTATCAGTGAATGTATTAGTGCATAAAGCGTTCGGCATGTATATGCTGTGTGTCTCCACACATGCAAACACACACACACACACACACACACACACACACACACAGACATTATTCAAATTGAAACTGTACTCTAATCACTCAACCTAATTCTATTGCCATTTTAACTCTTAAAATCAACATCTCCTACATGAGTAGGCATAAACATAATTCAAATATTTAAATATTCAAGAGAAAAAAATCACTAGGGAACCAATGAAAAATGAGAAGATCATAAATAAGAAATGCCCAGCAGTCCTAGTCTAACTACACTGTCTATTATACTTCAAGCTAGAGAGTGGAACAGGGATTTGAATATAAATTACAAACAAGTCCTCATCTTAAAGTTGTTTTAAGTTCTTTGAGGTTCTGACCTGTTCAGGTTCTCCCCTGTTAGAATTTTAGTCTGGAAAGTTGGAAGCTTCAGGAAATACATGTTTTTGTGAATTTTTCAGTTCTACAGTTTTTCAGATCCAATGACACTAATCTTCTAACCTTTGGCCACTCAACTCATTAAGAGCTCTATAGGTAGAATACTCGCTCTTTGAACTGCTCATGGAAAATGATGCACAGTGTCCCTCAGGATATGCTAAACAAGGTTTTTTAAAAGTATTTTATTTTACAGCATTTTAGTCTTTTCAAATAGACTTTAGTGACACAATGGTGTAAATGCTATATTTGCCATAACTCATTGGTGGCTCCTGTGTTACATGCGGTTTTAAATAATGCTCTAAATTGTTTGTTTCCCCAACGACAATGATAAAGTGTTCTGTAGAATTTGTAAAATGTGTTGATTGAGTCTGTTGATAATTGTGTAATTTTTATTTCATTTGTGAGACTATTTTTAGGTATAAGTTCTAAATATATATTTGTATGAGTCAAAAGTATTTGCTGGTATGTGGTATGTGTGTGGAAATGTATTATATCTTATAAAGAAAATCAAAGTTATCCTAAAGAAAAGGGCACATTATGACCAGCCTTAATCCATTGCCATTTTGTTGTTGTTGCTGCAATTTGGGATTAAAATTTAAAGAGAAATGATGTCTTTGTTAAAAACGGCTTTTAAAAAAAATGATATGAGAAATGTACTTTAGAACTTACCTGAGTTCCCACAACTTGTGGAGCACCTGATGCTTCTCAAAAGTTGCAAACGTCCATTAGCTGATTAAGCTCATAGTCATACAATGAGACTACATTCCCGTTTGTTGCTATCACCAACAGAACCGTTCACCTCTAAAGCTGTTCTATGCATTGAACCCGTTTTGCTTATAAGTTTCCCATGAAAAATTGTTTCTCCAAAGCTTTACTTTTTAAAATGGGATCTTCTCGAGTCAGATGAACTGCCGTGGCTCCCTGAGGGTCGCTCAAGACCCGTCAGCATTCAGTGATCCCAACATGGCTTCCTTTTCAAAAAACAAGCATGTGACACTCTCACCCTTTTGCTATTACCTACGTGTGGTCTCACATTAGGAAACTCATGTCTAATCCGAGGATCTGCACAGGTTCTCATGCTCAAAGCAAAAAACCCGTAATCTTCCTTTGGCTGGGATCTGGGTATGGAATATTAATCTTTTTCCTCTCTTTCTTCATCCTCAATTACCTTTTTTTTTCATATTTAGGGTTGCCAGATAAAATGCAGAACACCCAAAGTTTCTTTGTATCCAGTGGAAAACCTAA